GAAGAGACCGTACCAAGTCCAATCCGTACCCTTATCAACGTCATCGCTGATTACTTAAGCAAGAAAAAACTCATAACGTAAGTCGATCATGTGACCTAAGTTTGCTCCATGTCACTGCCATACATACTGTAGTTGAGTCACGTGCCATTACACGTGACTTTGTTGTACCGAATCGAGCTAGTCCGATAACTCCCGGGATTCCGTCTCATCAAGCATCGAATCCTAATTTGCTGCTGTCGTTTGCCCATCGAGAGCTTCGCCCGTCACGCATTTCTTCAATTAACAACGCCGGTCATCATGAACGCCTTCCGCGTCGCCCGCGCAGCTCTGCGAGCTCGTCCCGCTGCCATGCGGCTCCCTATTCAACCTCTACAGCGAAGAGGCTACGCCGACGCCGCCCCCGACAAGGTTCGTCTCTCACACAACCTAAACAGTCGCTCTACTAACATGGCGTAGATCAAGCTAAGCTTGTCTCTGCCTCACCAGGTACGATAGCATCCAGAGATGTGACTACGGTTCAATAATATGTTACCAATGCCGCGATCCTGTTTGCTCCGCTTCCATAAACAAGACCTCGTTACCGACGGACCTAGCTAATTCCCGCAATAGTCCATCTACACCTCGCAAGACGTCGTTCAGGTCAACATCCCGGCCGAGTCTGGTGAAATGGGTGTCCTTGCGAACCACGTACCTTCAATCGAGCAACTGAGGCCTGGCCTCATCGAGGTTATCGAGGAGAGCGGCTCCAGCAAGCAGTTTTTCCGTACGTACGAGGAAGAGGGGACAGCATTACATGGTTTATTAACTCCCAGGTCTAGTCTCCGGAGGTTTCGCTACCGTCCAGCCAAACTCTGTTCTCAGCATCAACGCCGTCGAAGGCTATCCCTTGGAAGATTTTAGCGCTGAAGCCGTCCGATCCCAGATTGCCGAGGCGCAGAAGGTTGCCCACGGTAGTGGCAGTGAGCAGGATATTGCGGAAGCAAAGATTGAGCTGGAGGTAAGGCTCATACCCAAGACTTTTCTTATTTTCTATTTTACTAACTATATTAGGTTCTGGAGAGTTTGCAAGCCGTTCTGAAATAAACTGTATAGAGGATATTTATCGCGCAACAACTTGTACATCAATAATTCCCTGCAATTCTCAGAGCGAATCAAGAAGGTTTTGAGCATCTTGGCGTCCATATGTGCAATTTCCCTCGACTATGAATGCACCTACCTGCCCTACCTAACGCGGTTGCCGACCTAGCTGTTCTCAAAAGTCGCTACTAACCCTTCTGGCTGGGTTTCAGCTAAACCTCTTAGACCATGATCTCTTCGTTCACCTATTATTGATTAGTATAGTAACCAACGAAGGTTCCTCACGCTACAGATACATTCCTTATGCCAAATTCTTAGTTAACAGGATGTGCAACTTATAAGTCTACTGAAACCACCCGGGAGATTGCTCGCCATGTTCTCGGGTCCCTCAAGATTCGGTTCCAATGTTGCGAATGAGCCTAGCAAAAACAAGTGCCCTCCTATTCTCGATATTATATTCCCTACTGGAACCGTCAGGTCAAAGTCACGCCGGTTCGACTTCCTATCTAGCCAAGTTAACTCATCGTCTGAGGACCCTACCTCAGCCAAACACCAGCGTGCTGCCGGTTAGGAACACCCGCCACGCTCACGGTTCGCAAAATCTTCAATACAGCATATCGATGTTCCCGACTTCCGGACTCCGCCCACTACCCATTCATTTGTCTTGCACAGTTGCGATCGACATATATCTGACGAGCAACATGGGCAGAAATCCGCAGTTCGCCCATCCTTCTTATTGCAACCTTCTTGCCGGAAAAATTTCTCTATGGGCCATGTATGCAACAAATTCGGTCTAACAGAAATATACTTGTCTAGTGGTCAACATAGTTCCAACACTGTCAAAGAAACATGCTTCAGCCCAACTCAACCTGACTTGCCGACTGCTAGCTATGGGACGCAATCCTTCGCAAACCCCTTATGTTCCACTAAAAATTCGCAGAACTTGCCGTTTGTCCCACCAGTCTCGCACGACACTCTTAATATCAAGAAATGGAAGTCAGCTCGGGATATGTTCAAGCATTATGGTATTACTAGGCCTTCTGGCTGGCTCTCAGACATAGAAGACCTATCGCTATCAGGGGATGGAAATGCCAGCCCCCGAGGATATTGTAGGTATTGTCACGTCTGCTCGACTCCGACTTGGGCCCCGACTCATTGCTCCTCCTGTGGACACCGTCTTTGCAAAAGGTGCGCATGTGAGGTGTCCGGTAGCACTCCACAGGGCCTTACCAACTTTTCTCATCATCCCAAGCCTACTATCATAGAAGACGTGCCCCGATATATAGCCGCTTCTAGGCCAGATCCAGAGTCCGTAGAAAGCTTTCGCCAAGGGATAACGACACGTTCTACCTCCGAGAGCCAAAGCCGAAATCGCATGGACACACAGTACCATCAATCATCGAATCTCCACGCCAAATATATTGGGCGAAGTACTAATGATGAGGGCAGAGAGGAAAATACATTGTTTACGGTTTCGCCGGCTATAGGAGCCGACCAGCATATAAGTAAAGAGCAATACCAAAAGATGCAAAGCCGATCGAACCGGCCCATTGAGAATAATCCATTTCTCGTCAGGGATAGAAAGCGCCGGGAGCAAGATATGGAGAATAATTCCTTGCACACTGCAAACCGAATGGAGTGTGACGATCCAATATGCAGAGCAACCCATGTCGGGCACCATCCGTTCCGCCATAGCGTTTCCTGCTCCAAACACTGGAGTAAGCAGAACAAACAAGCTTTGAATCTTGATGATGCTTTCGACCGACCTCCCCAGGTCGAGGTATTTGAGAAATATGACATGAGCGTCCCGCCAGACAAAGCTAACATCATTCATCGCCATCATTCTGCCGACTTCCACAGCCCTCGTCACATTGTTGACCACCTCACGCAAGCAGTCGGACATAATGCTTATGACCTCCTCAAGGAGCGCAATGAAAAAAATATTCGACACGTCCCGTTCAAAGAGCCAAACTCGTATCTTGAGCCTTTCACAACACCCAAGTCAATCACACAGATTGATTCCTTTCATTGGACCCCAGATACTGTTCCCCCGGGCCACCCAAGCCGCTCCAGTCATGGAAGGCAACAACATTCCCCGGCGACGAAACCTGTGGTAGATGCGCTAGACTGTAGGTTGCCAGAAATTGTAAACGGGAAGTCTGCATACGAGACGAGAGATACCGTGCAAAGTGAAGACCGCAATGACCCGAACCTACCTCTGCACTATGACCTCCAGAAACTCCGACTAACCAGCACACCGTCATGGCTAAAAAATCCGACTAAAGAAGCAGCGGATACTACTACTCCACTGCGCCACATCAATACTAAGAGCCATGAAGCGTATGAGCATGGCCATGATTACCTTTCGAACACCTCCATCGATAACCGGAAAGGTTACACGGGCATCCGCTCGGCGAGCTCTACTCACAGAGCTGACATACAAAAAGACTCGAACTCTGCGAGGCTTTTTGGCCACTCAAACCAGGAGATGCACTATACTCTCCCTGGTACCTTACAAATAACGCAACGTCAAGATTTACAAGACCGGCTTAGCCCTCATCATCAGGATCATATACGCACTCGAAGCAATTACGAAGCGAAGTCCCAGGGAGAACAGCATTTATCCTCTACAAGGGCGCACGATTCGACGTCAACAAACCTCAAGGCACCCGGAATATCTAATACAACGCCCAATATACAAATTGACCCTCCTAAACGTGAAAATCAGGATGCCCCAGTGTCAGTATCGAAACGCCGCGAAGTTTTTGAACACTTTCAAGATCATGCAAATGTGGCCACCTCGACAAATCCAGTGAGTCCCGGACATGGTGGTGGTGCCACCCGAAAAATCACGAGCTCTAAGCAGAATCAACAACAAGGGGCAACTCCAATAACCGAAGGTAGATTGTCGCAGTCGCTTATGGAAAGATAGGGGATTGAGAATACGCGCCTGCGCTCGAAGACTCAGCGCAGTCATGAAGATAACACCGCCCCTAGGCTCGTATATGGGGAGCTTCGTCAACAGGAATCTGGTAGAGTGTGTACATCTACAACTAACGGGCTCGACGAAAAGTTTGAGTACAGCGAAACAAAGTCTTATGTCGAGCAGTCATCTGGACTTGAAATCACTAAGCCTACGCCCATCGTTCCTCCAAATCATGGATGTGCCTGGAAAGAACGATATCTAGCCTTGACGGCCGAGATCCGTCAGCTCAAGGCGGAGCTGTCGACGCGTGCTTCGCTCAAAAGCTCGGATATTCTCTCTCCCAGATATGGACAACATGAAGATAATTTCGACCTGATGGAGGTCAGTACCATCCTACGCTTTAGGGACAGGGACGATATCGTTATTAATAGCGATGTTATTATCCAAGGTGCAGAGCCTAGTAACTGAAGCCAGAGCTATAGCCCCAAAAAGAGGAGCGTGAAGACTGTGGCAATGGCATAAGGAAGTTCTAAGGAATTGATCCACTCTGCACTGTGGAAATATGTCAATTAGTTCCTCAACCTGGGAAGATTAACGAATAGCTAATATGCTTCATTAATAGATTATAGTTTTTTTGGAAGGCTTAGTTTTTTCCAAACAAAATTACGCTTGATAAACAGGTGGTATAAATAATATTGAACCTAATCTTCACCTTTATCAAAGCTTTTAAATATTCATATCCAGCCAGCCTATATATAATATGGTATAGCCAATATAGCTAGGGTGGATTAACCGGCTATGTAAATTTGTTCAACTTATCTCGGTAGATAAATAGATGAATCCTATAGAAAAGATGGATATAGTTAGAGGGAAAGAAGGTAATATGTAGGTGGACACTATCAATCCATCACTCTGCTTTCCAACAGAGAAGATTTTGCAAAATGAAAGTAGCAGGCAAGTATGTATAGACAATTGAGGGAGAAAAAAGTAAATTTGACTCCGAATCGGGGAATCGAACCCCGGGCTTGACGGCACTTTTCGACATCACATAATATTATTTATGATGATATTGTTGAGAGCGTCAAATGTTAGCCACTACACCAATTCGGATGGGTAAAGAACCTGTTGCCCACTAGCGGAATCGAACCGCTGATCTTGTCATGACATCTAGTAATTACTAGTGACACGCTATACCACTTAGCCAAGCGGGCTAATATCTTCAGTTGTTAGCCAGGTCGATATTATTCATCACATCATTGATCGTTTGTGTGCATGCGCATCATCATCCGATTCAATCATTATTGATTCAACTTTCTTATTTTTTTTCTTCGCTTGTTAAGTTGGGTTTTTATGGGTTCTTTTGGTTCTCTTTGGGATGGCAGAAGAGTGTGGGTTTCCAAGTACTACACTAGAATGTACGTACTAACTAGAGGAGTAACATCCAATATTATTCCGGACTTCCAGAAAGAGCATGGAGTCTAAACGGTCTTTTTTTTTTTCGCACTTGTTAGAATGTCGCTACGGGAGATCAGACATTAGGTGCATTGTAAATACGTATTGTCCAATATCTGGCCTCTACTAGTAATAGAGAGAGTCACGTTCCTTGTTTTGTGAAGACTGTGTCATAGATGACAACGTTCTGTTGGAAATTGATCGGATATAGTGTGGCAACAACGACAAGTTAGAATGACGGCATTTCCTAGGCTAGGCTTTGTTGTTAAGCCAAATCTCTCCGTAGTATGGCATATTGATACAATAGCCTCAATCATCAACCTTCTTGCCTACAGCATGTCTGCCTCTAGTTCCCATAAAATCCATTCGTATTCTATCCCAAGTCTATCCTGAGTCTATCCTGAGTCTATCCCAAATCTATCCGCCCGCGGCACTAAAGCAAGCAGTTTGTAACCCGCCCCAAAAATCTAAACCTCGGTGTTGTTGCTTCGCGTTCTTTTTTCTTTTTTTTTGCCCCCTTCTTTATTCCCACCCATTTCAACATATGTGTTGCGCACCCAGTGAAGTACATCGGTATTGATTTTCCGAAGTAGATTTGGGGGATAGTTGAACCTATCCCGCTACTTGCCGTAACGCTATTGCACGAATCACCGCGCGTGGGTGTTAATAGCAAGTGCTACCGTTTCACTGGCTCATCACTGATTTAAATCCTAACGAGGACCGACAGGCTTGAAAGTAGATTTAAACGTGCCAATGACTGAGACCCGTTGGGGCACGCTTTCTTCCTCGACGTATGGTTTTCCCTCTGCTTTAACGCGTTCCTCCTCAAGCTCTGCGATACTCCTCACGTTGGCAAAGCTACCCACGATCCCTGTTGGCTCCTCACCCCAGATTGAGAAGAAGGGACTGTCATCTATAGGCAATTTGCTGTCAGTACAGGATTCACGTGATCCTATATCTAGGTGCAATATTATAGACGTGTAGGGGATGAAACATGCAAGACCTTATTAGTCGTATTGTTCTGCTTTGAAGGTGATAGACTTTAGGCTTGAGAATCACTTACGCTCCGCGTATGTACGAGCGCTAATGGGCGGCTCTGGCACTTGTCGCTTCGTCACGGCCGCAAATGTGGTCGTGTCTAGGATGTGGATATGAAACTGGATAGCTGCGTCCTTATCCCACACGTCGGCAGGGTTACGATCCGGCACAATAGTCTGCTTGACTTGATTTATAATTAGAACGATTAGCGGTGTTCTCAAATATCACGTCAAATAGCAGGGCCGTGTGTGAGGCTTCTTACTCAATCCGCCAGCTACCATACTCATTTGTTCTATTCTATCTATGATATTAAGATGTCAGCCTCGCCATTGGAAACGAACCAAATGGAATGATTTCTTACTCGTGATGCTGCTGTATGAAGGTGGCATATCTGCCGTTGAATAATCGGCCATGCCGCCAGCAAGCCCTCTCGGAGGAGGCACCGCATTATCATGGTTATGGCTTACTCCCAGGACAAAGCCGGGCTTATTTAGAACGCTGGAGTCAGCAATATCTGCATATGATAATAGTTGTTTGGAATCCCAGGAGCTTGCAGGAGCAGAATATGCCCACCTATGCATTTCGTGGCTCTAAGAGACATACTAAAAAGGGAGGGGTAAGAAGGCTCTAGTGACTAACCTTGAAGTAATATTTGCCGATTTCAACATCGTCGTGTATATGTAGGTGGTCGTACCACTTGACGCGAGGATGCAGTACCTGCTTGCTGACTGGTATGCCAAACTCACGCTCCAGAACTATCTTCAGATCCTTCCAGGTGGATGATGGACCAATGCCATTCTCTTCGAGGTCGATTTTCCGACTCGTCTCTCTATGCATAAGATCCCTGTAGCGCACTTCCATTCTTCTCGGAGGCTCGCACTTGATAGGAATGACTTCGACCTGGATGCCCCCGATAGTATCTTTGCCATTAATTTGGGACTCAACAGAGAATCCGGAATCTTTGGGCTGTGCAACGAATTGGCGGACTTTTCCGTCCTCACACACAATGCCGTCAAGCCAAGGCTGGCCTGGCGTTACCATATAGTCTTGGACCTTCGCTGTCTGTTTGCGTATTCCCACTTCTCCAGCTTCCATGGGCAATCCAGAGACAGCGTTGATACCACCCACAGAAATCCGAATGGCGAAGGGCAAACGGGCCTCAAAATTGATCCACATCGCCTCTCGCTGGTACATGGTGAAGAAAATACCGGATTTCTTAGCCACCTCAGCTGGTACCTGCTGAGCGTAATCCTAATTCGCATTAGTACGCGATAGTTGCATACTGTTTGTGATTTAAAGAACAATAGTATAGGTGATGGGCTTAAGGGAGTTAGGAAAGGAAGAGTAAGTTACGGAAAAACTAACTTGAACTAGAAAGATAGGGAATTGACCTAGGTCCGGGGGCAACATGTTAATGTCCCTTTTGTTATCCGGGACGCGGATGGTACGCTTGAATGTAAGGGTCAAAGCATCCTTAATTCCCATATACTCGAATTGCATGGCATCCTCTTCTAGGTTGACAAGTATCAATGGCGATTTGGTACGAATTGGGATTCGTATCTGGACTTGGTTATCAGGTTTGACAGCCATTTGGATTAGGGTGAGATGGGATGCTGGTAACGAGGAAGGCAGGAATATCGAATAGGTAGATCTGAGCAATTTGTCGCCTCGGAGTTGCTAGAGTCTGGTTAAGGGGACATAATCGAGGGGAAACACGAAACTTAAATATTCAGCTTCTACATCATGAATTCGAAGGCTCTAAGCAATACCGCCCGCGCCCGAGATAGGACGTTCATGAGAACATGGTGGAAAGTGCTGAGTGAGGAAGTCTTTCTTTCATACTGTAGACGCGCATATAACTGATACTATAGAGTACGATCTGAACATGCAGTACACTTGCTGACTCAACTTATGCCATGCAGTTTAAAGGACTGTTCACTTCAAACTCATGATATTCTGCTCTTCAAGCTTGACTAACCCTAGTCGTCTTACCGTGAGCGATAGGAAGAACGGGTATGCACTCAGTCTCTTTATTGTTTGATACTTCTAAATTTCCTTTGGTTACCATACCTAAGAGCGTACCTCTCAACAGTCAGATGTGTTCTTCAATTGTATGGTTGACTTGAGTTAGACAGCAGGGGCCACTTCGAGTTATAGATCTGACGTAAGCCCAATGAACTCTTTTTAAGTTATTCACTCCATTATATGACTACGTCTCTATTATGAAACTCGCTGATCCTGAGCTTTATCACATTCATATATATTCATATTCTGCATATATGATCGGCAAGGCATTGAGCATGAGTGAGTGTCAATAGTTTTGAACTGCCTTCGAATTGTACTATGCGCTCTACACTTTTTGATACGCGAGGAATAGCAAGGTGTGTACGTAGAATAGCAAGACAAGCATTGAATGCCCTAGGTCGCCCGGCGGGTAGATACGACGCACGCCATTCTAGGCATGGTTCATGAAATGACTGACTCAATGGGCATTGGTAGGCTCATATGAAAAAACGCGCATGTAGCCGTCTCTTGGTCACTCAAAGGGTTAACTAGCTGCCTGATCATGTGGTCACCTGCCTCAGACCTTGACTAACCACAGCATATCTCCCGCATATCTCCCGGGGCGTTCCGCACTCCGGAACAAAACGTTGTGAGAACTGTTGTGCCGAATAGTTGCCGGTCATGAAAAATATGAGATATCCATCTGACAAAATGTTCATGGCCAATGGAATGTTCCAATACAATTTCGTCTACGTGTTATTCTAGGTACCCTCACTGCAAGCTAAGCTGGATAGTAGCCAAGCTGGTTAAATACTGCCGCTCATGTTTCGAGGCTAGTCAAGCCTCAGTGTACCCTCCGGGCCGTCCCTTTATGCCCTCCAGTTGTTACACACTATCTACCCCAATGTTCTAAGGATTGAACACTCTAACGAGTACAAACACGGAAAAGAGCAACTAATGGAGCGAAAATCAATCCAATATTTGGCATGATGATCAGCACTTTGGGGTTAACCACAGGCTAACGGCCAAATCATGACATAGCCGGGTACTGGCCGGGCAACATAATGTCATGAACTTCGACAATATGTATTGGCCATACATCTTCATCTCAACCGCGGCTCTCCTCTATCGACTGTCTGGCTCCTTGTCGTTGATCCCTGTGACAGAATCAGCCAAGACGGGTATCGGGAAACTTGGTCTTTCTCGAGTGATGCCAAGACATGCCTCCACGAGTGACAAGCTTTGCCAAGTACCTAGGATAACATGACAGTTAACGGTGGACGGCAAATGCGAAAACTGCACTATAGAATACCTATAAAGCCTACTTAGCGATTATTTGATTGGAGGAAAAATAGATTAGCAGACTAGCGAGTAGGTAGCAATAGGCCAGTACACGACGCTACGGCAAACATATGGCTTGGGGCGTCTGGCTTGGGTACCTTGGGTCGTGTAGGTGTCCAGTCCAAGCCTCTTGGCGATGAAGCTGCGCGCACTGATCATGTGCAAGCCATAATTCGGTCTATTGCGGGCAGATTGCGGGCAGATTGCGGGGAACGGGAAGGCAGTCTACATGTGTGCGTCTGTGTGTGACCAGATTGCAGGATAATAAACAAGAT